GAACAAGCATATAGATAAGTAGAATAAAACTGAGAATTCAGAAATAACCTGTGTGTATGTGGCCAGTTGATTTTTGAAAGTGATGTTAAGACTATTCAACAGTGAAAGGATACTGTCTTCAATAAAGGACATCAGACAGTTCAATATCTTTATGTAAAATAGATTGTATCCAAATGCCATATGCTAAATATTAAATGAATCAAAGACCCAGTTATGAGAGCAAAAACTATGATATTCTCTCAAGTAGACATAAAGCAAATCTCTTTTAAAAAGGTTTTATGTATATGAGTGTTTTGCCCGCATGTATGTACATGTATCACATGCATGCATGGTGCCCATGGAGACCAGAATAGGCCATCAGATCCCTTGGAACTAGAGTTTTGGATGGTTGTGAGCCACCATGTGAGTGGTGAGAACCAAACATAGTCTTCTAAAAGAGTAATAAATGTTCTTAAGTACTGAACTCCAGCCCCAAAGGCAAATCTTTTTTTTATAGTCATTCATTCATTCATTCATTCATTTATTTATTATGTATACAATAGTCTATCTGTGTGTATGCCTGTAGGCCAAAAGAGGGCACCAGCCCCCATTACAGATGGTTGTGAGCCACCATGTGGTTGCTGGGAATTGAACTCAGGACCTTTGGAAGAGCAGGCGATGCTCTTAACCTCTGAGCCATCTCTCCAGCCCCCAAGGCAAATCTTTAAAAATTTTAAAATATTATTTGTATGTGTATGTGATGGTAAACATCTGTGTGCCATGACAAAAGTGTAGAGATGAGAGGGCAGTTAGGATTCTGTTCTCTCTGTCCACTGTGGGTTCTACTACTTGAACTCAGTTTGCTAGACTTTGGCAACAGGTGCTGTTACCTTCTGAGTCACCTTAATGGTCATGGGTAAATTTTGTTGAACTTGGATCCAAACAGTGAATAAAAAATTTGGCAAATCGGAGCACATCAAAATTTAATACTTTTGTGGACCAAGAGATACCATTAAGTAAATGAAAATAACTTATTGTTGTTGGGGTTTCTGTCCTGCCCAGTTCCCGTAATCATTAAGTCCCCAAGAAATCACACAGAGGCCTACATTAACTAGAAACTGATTGGTCCATTAGCTCAGGCTTCTTAATAACTCTTATAATGTATGTTAGTCTATTATTCTTGTCTATGTTAGCCACATGGCTCAGTGCCTTTTTCAGCAGGACAGCCACATCTTGCTTATTCTATGGTCAGGGAAAGAATTGCAGAGGAATGGGCTTCCTTCTTCCCAGAATTCCTTGACCCACCTCTTCTTACTGTCTGGTTGTACCTCCTATACTTACTGCCTGGATACTGGCCAATCAGCATTTATTTAAAATATAATTGACAAAATATAGTTGTCCCACACCAATTTATAGAACAGGAGAAAATTTGAAAGTCTCTTAATGGCCCAACTCTCTGTAATCTTTTTTTTTTTTTTTGGTTTTTTGAGAACTCTCTGTAATCTTAAAACTGAAAAACAAAACCCAATCAAAATATGGGTAAAGGACTTGATTACATTTTCCCAAAGAAGATACGTGAATGTCTATAAGCATGGAAAGATAGTCATCACCATTAGTCATTAAGGAAATGCACAACAAGACCATAGTGACATACCACTTCATACCTGTAGGACGAGTGCAACCTTAAAACAGAGCAGAACAAAAGTCCTCACAGTTATAAGTATTGGTGAGGATGAGAAGAATCCCCACCATATACTTTGCTGGTAGGTAAAATAGTGTAGCTTCTGTTGTAAACAGTTTGGTAGCTCCCTAAAAAGGTGAATGCAGAATTATCATGTGACCTAGCAATTGGAAACATGTTTTCAAATATTTAATGTTTATAGTAGTTTTATTAACAGTGGTACTATTAACAGTGGTCAAAAGATGGAGACAATCTAGCATTCATTAATACATGAATCATTAAAAATTGTAATTCATACAAATTTTTTTTGACATAAAAAGAAATGAAGTAGTGACATAATACAATTTAGATGAAACACGGAATTAAGTGAACGAAGGCAGGCATGGAGGGTCACGTTGCATGATTACATTTATATGAATTATTCTGAAGAAGTTGGGCATCATGGCTCACACCTTGTAATCCCAGCACTTAGGAGAACGAGGCAGAAGGATCTCTGTGGGTTCTATACTAGTCTGCTACATAGTGAGTTCCAGAACAACACACAAAAAGAAATAACCCAAAGAAATAAATCCAAAGAAACAAAGCAAATTAGTGATTTCTAGGGATTAAAGAGGGGTACTAGAAGTAAGTGAGTGCCAGGTTTATTTTGAATTGTTGAAAATATTTTGTGACGAGGTAGAAGTAATCGTTGTTCAATACTTTGAATAGTCTAACACTGTGCATTCAAAATAGTTAATACTATATTATGCACATTTTGCTTCAATTAAAAATTATGTCATAATAGATAATTATGTCATATACTTCCTGTGATCTCACAAATACTATGGCTTTGCTGTTGCCTTGTGACTGTTACCTTGTGACTGTTGGAATCCATGTGAATTTTGTAGTAGTGTTCCTTTGGGGCATTTTCTTTAGTTGTGGGTGGTTAATCTCAAAGACAGATGGTCCCAAGTGTGTTTCTTCCTATAATAACAATTAAGGAATGTAGTTTTGATATATCAGTTTTATTTTCTTAACTTTGGAAAGCTTCTACCCTGGACTGAGTGATTTAAAATGTAGTCTGGTCTGACATTGATCATCTTTATTTAACTTGGAAAGTGATGTCTAAAACAATTTTGTATTGTTTGGAGATGCAGCAAATTTTGATTTTATGAAAATGTATAGAAATTCTTAAAGACTTAGTAAGAAATGAAGTTGCAGTGATGTTTTTATGATTCTTTCTGTGCTACGCTGGTAGAAATGTTTGTTTTACTTTACAACCACTGTGAGTGATTTTTGTTACCAGTAGAATTGGTGTTGGGAATAAGAAAGCCTGCTTTCAGTTCCTTCAAATAGAGTTTATGTACAATTTAAACACATTGATTTCTTTATCTTCCACCTGCTTCGAGTTTTTGAAGGCTAGATTTTAAGTTGCATTCTGTCAAGTCAGGTGGAGCTGAGGGTGAGAAGAGCGTCTCACACAGAAACAGATGTGTGTCAGTCATGAAGCTTTTCTTCATGAATACGTCAGTGGCTTCTGACCCATAGTCACTGTTATTTTTTTTGAGTCCTTGCCTTTTTAGATGTATTTACATTAATGTCTAGTGTACTCCACCTGATGTGTTTTATGACTCAAATACAGCATCCAGATTCTAAGATTCTAGAGCTATGAAGCAAACAATATTCATTTGGTCTGTAATGAACCAAGCTGGCAGCTTCTTACATGAAAAGCATTGTGTCCCAGACAGCTGAATTGGAGTAAAGAAATGTCTTGCTTATTTTGTGACTTTAAAGTTAGAGGCTTTGGTAAACATAACAAAATGTTAAAATAAATTGAATAAGTCAGAGAGGTGAGTATAATAGCTTAAGATAATAATTGCTTCTGGTTTTCATATCATTAGATTTTCTTTTTTTCTCTTTTAAATTACTTACTTTTATTTTATGCGTGAATGTCTTGTCTGCCTGCATGTATGTCTGTGTACCACATGTATGCCTGATGCCCATAGGAGCAGATGCTGGATCCCTTGGAACAGGAACTACAGATGGCTGTGAGCTGCCATGTGGGTTCTGAGAACTGAACCCAGGACATCTCTAATAGTAGCCAGTGCTCTTAGTCCCTGAGCCATCTCTCCAGCCCCTAGATTTTTTCTGATGCTCATAGGATAAGCTTTTAAAATAAGAAAAAGTTGAAGAATTATCAATTAGGTTTTTAATAAATTGTAAATTAAGAAAAAAAATCTGATGACAGCTGCTTTAAGAAAACATACCAGCAGAGCAAGAAAACAAAAGTTAAAAGGGATGAAACTTTAACTTACTGGAAAATTAAAATTAAAATTTCTTAGAAAGATATGCCTATGAAAAGTGACATAGTACACACTACGTGGCTTGAATAATTTATTCAACTTCTCTGTGCCTGAGTTTCATCATCTGGGTAATCAGAACAATAGAATTTTCATACTAAGGTCATGGTAAAGATTTTATATGCTAACATAGATGAACAAGGCTTGATGCAGTGGGAAAGGCAAATGTGCATGTTAAGGATGAAAGAATGCTGGTAATAACTCGTAGCTACTTTGGTTAGTGATTTGTTTGGGAGGGTCAAACCTATTCATAGTCACGGAGGTTCATAGTCCTGGTCCCCAGTAATGTAGCACAGTGTGACTGTAGGAAATTTCAAGTCCTTCTACTAGTATTCTCACTTTGGGTTCATTTCACTGCTAATTGGTATTTTAATGGAGGGGAATGTTTTGGTAAAGAGAACTTTTTTTAAAAAAAAACTTTTCTAAGTAATTTTAAGACCTCATAAAGCACTTTGGTGGATTTTGTTGAAATGCTCCTGGGCAAAATGGAGTGACGTAGATACATGGATCAGAGGGGAGGAGAAATAGAAAATAGTTGCTTAACCTAGAATGCATACGAACGCATGTGTGCATTCATGTGTCTCTAGTCTATACCAGAAAAACCCCGGGCTTTGAGGAAGAACATAACAATTAGCACATCCTTGGGCTTGCATCCTGGAAGTTGTCAAGCCACATGCTAATCAGCTGATGCAGTATTGCTGCCATGCCACCTGAAGCTTAACTGGACAGGGAGATGCAGAGATTTATATGAATCACCTTGTGTTGATGACTGAGATCACTAACGTGTTTGCATGCTCCAGCTTCTGCTCTAAGAGAGCAGAGCTCACATCAGTGCACAGGAAGTACTTGTAGCTGTAAATCTCCTCACTTTTCTCTGCATGCCTAGTATATGTGTAGAGCTGTGAAAATGAATTAGGAAGGATTAACAAGACTAGATAACTGGGCTTCCTAAAATGTGATTTCTTTTCTCATGAGGTGATGGTGTGATACTTCTTTTACAGGACTGAATTGCAACGGCAGAAGCAATAAATGACTCTTTAAAGATGCCACAGGACTGCAGAAAGTGAAGGGGAACCAAGAGAGGAGGATGAAGTGAGAAAATGTTTTTCCCAGGGACAAGAAGTATGTCTATATTTTAACAAAATTCTTATTGTGTCAATTATAAGACTGTAATACCTGAGTTGTTATAGCCATATTTAGTTTTTATTATGTTAAACATTTTTTTAATTGAAAAGTTTTATTTTATGGTGGGGTGATAGTAGTGGTGGTTTCATGTAGCTTTAGTCTCCCCCTCCCTCCAAGCTATTGGTTGTTTTTTATTTTTAGTTTGAAAAATTTTTATTCTGTTATATATTACATTTCGACTGCAGTTTCCACTCACTCCCCTCCCCCAAATCTTTCCCTCCCATCTCCCTTCTGCTCCAGCTCCACCCTCACCCCACTCCCATTCCCCACAGAAAAGTACAAGTCTTCCAGGGACATCAACCAAACACAGCATAACAAGCTAGAATAAGATAAGACACATACCATCGCATCAAAACTGGATGTGGCAACCCAGTAGGGGTAAAAGAGGCCCACAAGCAGGCACAAGAGTCAGAGATAACTCTTGCTCCCACTATTAGGAATCCCACAAGAACAACAAACTACTCAGCCACCTGGTCTACAGAGCTAGTTCCAGGACAGGCTCCAAAGCCACAGAGAAACCCTGTCTCGAAAAACCAAAAAAAAAAAAAAAAAAAAAAAAAAAAAAAAAAAACAAAAACAAAAAAAAAAACAAAACTACTCAGCCATAACATATATGCAGAGGACCTAAGTCAGACCCCTACTGGTTCCCATGATTCCTGATCATTTGATTCTATGGGCCCTGTTCTTCTGGTGTCCCTGATCTTCTGGTTCCTCTGATCTTTCCTCTCTGTCCTTTGCAGAACTGACCAAGCTCCTCCTAATATTTGGGGGTGGGACTCTGCATCTGCTCCCATCAGTTGCTGCATGAAGTTTCTCTGGTCTCTTTTATGATGATTCTGCTAGGCTCTGGTCCCAGATCACTCTGCAGGCAGGACAAAGTATAGGTCAAAGGTTTTGTGGCTCAGCTGGTGTTCCAATATCTCCACTTGAAGCCTTGCCTGATTACAGAAGATGGCCAGATCAGGCTCTGTGCCCCCCATTACTAGGAGTCTTGGCTAGGGTTACTCTGATAGATTCCATGGGGTTTTCCTTGCACTAGGTTTCTACCTTGCCCTAAAATGCTCTCCCAATTCCAGTTGTTTCTACCAGTATTTTCTCCCACCTCACCTGATCCCTCCTGTTCCCAGTCCCACCTGTGTCCACCATGGACATCTGTTCTAGTTCTCCTTCCCAGAGAGATCATTACATCACCCACAAGCCCTCATTATTTAACCTCTCTAGGTTTCTGGATTGTAGCATTGTTATCTTTTACTTTATAGCTAATATCTACTTAGAAGTGAGCACATATTATGTTTGCCTTTCTGGATTTGGGTTACCTCACTCAGGGTGATTTTTTTCTCTTATTTTATCCACTTGCCTGCAAATTTCATGATACCATTATTTTTAACAACTTCCATAGTACAAATGAACATTTTCTTTCTTTCTTTTTCTTTTTAAATGAACACTTTCTTTATCCATTCTTTAGTTTCGGGACATCTAGGTTATTTTCAGTTTCTGGCTATTAGGAATAAAACAGCTTTAGGTAGAGTTGAGTAAGTGTCCTTGTGGTATAATTGAGCACCTGGTATATGCCCAGGAGTAGCACAGCGGGGTCTTGAGGTAGATCAATTCCCAATTTTCTGAGCAGCCACCATATTAATTTCCAAAGTGGCTGTACAAGTTTTCACTCTCACCAGCAATGAAGGAGTGTTCCCCTTGCTCCACATCCTTGCCAGCATGAACTGTCACTTGTGTTTTTGATCTTAGCCATCAAAGTATAAGATGGAATCTGAAAGCCATTTTGATTTATATTTCTCTGATGACTAAGGATGTTGGACATTTAAGTGTTTTTTGGCCAGTTGAGATTCCTCTGTTGAGAATTCTCTTTTTAGATCTGTAACCCATTTTTAAATTGGATTATTTAGTTTGTTGATGTATAGTTTATTGAAAAATATATATAGGATATTAGCCCTCTGTCAGATGTGGAGTTGGTGAAAATAGCTTCCCATTCTGTAGGCTGCCATTTTGTTCTATTGACAGTGTCCTTTGCCTTACAGAAACTTTTTAGTTTCAGCAGGTTCCATTTATTAATTGTGATTCTAGTGCCTGTGCTATTGGTATACTATTCAGGAAGTTGTCTTTTTTGTGCTCAAGGCTATTCCCTATTTTCTCTTCTATGAGGTTCAGTGTATCTGTTGTTTGTTTGTTTGGTTGATTTTGTTTATTTATTTTTTTTTGTTTTTCGAGACAGGGTTTCTTTGCACCTTTGGAACCTGGAACTAGCTCTTGTAGATCAAGCTGGCCTCAAACTCAGAGAAATCCTCCTGCCTCTGTCTCCCAAGTGCTGTGATTAAAGGTGTGAGCCACCACCATCTGGCCAGTGTATCTGGTTTTATGTTGAGGATTTTGATTCACTTGTGAAGACAGACACTAAAAAGAAATCCCACACTAGCTCAGAAATGAGGATAATAAAGGGTTAGTTATTCAGGGGTAGACTCACAGATCACAGTCCTCTGCAAGCGAATCCAGCAGCCAGAAGAAGAGAGAGGGAGCTAGCACTTTACATAGGTGTTTATAAAAGGCCAAGCCCAAATGTGTGGGTAACTTAAAGGCTACTGGCTGAAGAGTTTCCTACAGCACACTTGAACTTGAGTTTTGTGCAGGGTGATAGAAATGGGTCTATTTGCATTCTTCTATATACCACCATCCAGTTTGACCAGCACTGTTTGTTGAAGATGCTTTCTTTTTTCCATTGTATATTTCTGGCTTCTTTATCAAAATCAGGGGTTCATAGGTGTGTCAATTTACATCTAGGACTTCAATTTCATTGATCAATGTGTCTGTTTTTATGCCAATGCCATGTGTTTTTTGTTACTACAGCTCTGTAGTAGAGCTTTAAATCAGGGATGGTGATGCCTACAGAAGTTCTTTTATTATATTGATTTTTTTTAGCCTATTCTGAGTTTTTTTTTTTCATGTGAAGTTGAGTATTGTTCTTTCAAGGTCTGTAAAGAATTGTGTTGGAATTTTGATGGAGATTGAATTGAATCTGTAGATTGCATTTGGTAGGATGGCCATTTTTACTATGTCAGCCCTACCCATTCATGATCATGGGAGATCTTTCCATCTTCTGATGTATTTTCCAATTACCTTCTTCAGAGAATTCAAGTTCTTGTAATACAGGTCTTTCACTTGCTTGATTAGAGTTATCCCAAGATATTTTTTATTATTTGTGGCTATTGTGAAGGGTATTGTTTCCCTGATTTCTTTCTTGGCCCTTTTGTCATTTGTATATAGGAAAACTGTAGCTATAACTGTCTAGTCTTCAACCCCATCAAAGACCAGAGAAGGTTATATTATCTGAGTAAACAGGAAATTTAGAGCAATCAGCTTCCAAAACTATAGAAATGACAGAAACATCTGACTGCTGGAACAGTCACCCAAGGTTCCTCTGCAACATTGGGTCATCTGTCTTTGGCCTACAGGCCTAGAATATCTGACAGACATTTTTGTGAAGCAGGAATTTCAAAGGACTATCCTACCTTGTCTTGGCAACGTCTGGCAATCACCTTCTTTTGTGTCCTACTTCACCGATTTGAACAGCATACTATCAGAAGTTGAGGCAAGGGCAGTTTCTTGCCCAGTGGTTAGTAATGAAAATAAACCCCATATTGAGGATTTTTGTTGCCTGTCATTCTTTTTTGAAGTAAATTGATGCTGCCAGAGCAGACATGTCTCACTGTCATGAAAAGTCTTACACTTTTATTAAAACATCTTAAATGCCATATTATGTAGTTCTTTGAAGTGTCTGAAGACCATCTACCTATCTAATATATATATATATGTATGTTTGACCTTGAAAACATACCTAACATGGCACAAATTTGTTAGTTTTAGATGACTAACTACTAACCTATGCTTTTTAATTATCTTAAACCATTTTTAATAATAGCCTTTAAGGACAAGAACTTTATATTATATTTTAAAATGAGATACATAGGCATAATACCTTAATAAGAGTAGAAATTATACATACATACAGTATATTAAAACAAAAAACCTTAAATTTGTATCAATATATAAAAATCCATACCAATGTAAAACATTTGAGACTAATAATGGCTTTTTTAGTTTAAAAGTAGATTCAATAATCTACCCTTTTCCCTATTATTTCTATACTATTCCTCCCTTTTCCCTTCAGAAAGAGATCCCTGACTCTAATCTCTTTTGCTTTCTCCCTAACCATGACCAACAACAACTTACAGCCAACTCCCCTAAACAGTAATAAACATGTATAATCAATTGAATGACCAAAAACCATCCAGCCTACCTCTTGAGAATGTGGACATTGTGTTCTCTAGACTTCTTCCTGTTGTCTAGGGGTGACGGTATCTCTAGGGGACCCTTAGAAAATTGGGACAATGGTCAAGTCCTGGGAGAGCTAGCTGTATTAATTGTTTCTGTTTCGTCTCTGTGTGATGGGAAAGTGTAGAGCTGATCTGAAGTTTTAGCTGGAATAGTCTGTGAGGCTGGACCATCTCAGCTAGCAGCTTTAAAGTTGTTGTGGATGCAGAATTTTGAGGAAACTGAAACAGAGGCATTCTGAGAGGCTGGGTCAGCTGGGATATTTGTCTTTTGGCATCTGGTCCTTTTTTTTTTTTCCGAAAACATAAACTTTTAAAGGTAACATCTGTATTAACACAAATATGGAATGTGTAGTGTGCACAAGACAGCTGAAGATGATTTTTCTGTTCTGTGTTTGAGGTGGTAAAAGGCATCTGTCAAGTCCATTTGAATTGCATATATAAACTGTAATATAATACGCCAAGAGGCCTCTGTAACCAACAAGAGTTATCATGTCCTATCCAGTCTCAGAGCTGTTCCCTTGTTGAGGGATCAGCATACACGTCATCTGTCCTGTAGAGTTTCTTGGCTTTTCCCCTCATGTCTGTAGCTAA